CCACTGAAAAGGGAGTTGTGTTTCACACGAGCAACAAGCTGTGGCCGCAGCTCTGTGGCCAGAACTCAAACAGGAATTGATGTTCCTGTCTCTGATGTGATGAATCTCTCGTGATTGGTGAGAATCGTTGCAGATAAGCGAGTCTTGAAAGAAGCTCTTACATTTTCTGTTTCACCTCATTCGTCACTTCAAATTTGGGCTAATGGAGATTTAAATCAAAACTGTTCTTTGCATTGCAGCTGTCTTGCAAACATACCTCATTTCATCTCTTTGTATAATTATCTGTGACAAACAAAGAAAACGTCAGTTTTGTTGCAGATCCATAAAGATGGGGAACTTATTAGAGATGTATTCAGTAAAAAATTGTCAAAACTTAAGCAGCAGATATCCTGACTTTTATTGGTGAAACTCTTAAAACAATGAACAATCCTGCATTTCCCATAATGCATCTGAATAGCATTTCTCTGTGGGTATTTTTCACCACGGTTGGATAGTTTTCTCTGTTCTGTATAAGCAGCGTCCCTTCTCCGTCAGAGGTCTGCCTGTTCTCCAGCAGAGACCATAGATTAGCAAGCTTTAAATACCTTTCAGACAGCATTGAGCCATATGATGCTGGATCTGTTACTGGCCTCGCTCCTTCTGTAGTTAAGAAGAAAAATGCGGCACTATGTTTTAATAGGCTCAACACTGCCCTGGGGAAATTGATGAGGCTTGACAATTATAAGGATATATTTTAGAGCTTGACCCGGTCGCTTCTCGTCTGCCGTTCCTCTCCCACGGCGGCAGCGCAGGGAAGAGCATTAACTACAAGGTGATGTGGGCCCTAACTCAGTGATGCAGAATTCTGCTCTCTGTCCAGGTGTCGGGCATTGTGTGAGAGCGGGATGGGGTCCAGTGAGTGACAGAGTGGAAAATGTGAAGAATGGCTCAGGGAGACAGAGCTGGTGAGGAGCCATGGAGAGACTGGAGAGAGCGAGGGGAAAGCTGGCGTCAGCAGCAGATGAGTGAGCGGAGTAAGAGTTGACTCTGATGGCGCTGTGCTCAGGGAAAGGAATAGTAGGAACGTTCACATACAGGAAACAGCCCACCCCCCCCCTCCCCGGTCCACCTCTCACTTCTTCCAGCCCGAGGGACGGCTTCCATGACAACAAAACCTTAGTGTTTCTATGACAACAAAGCCTGAATCTCATGCATTTTGCAGCAGCTGTTCAGGCATTACCTGTGTAACACATCAGCTGCACGTCACTGACACTTTACATTACGAGTCTTTCCATCACACTTTCCTGTGTGACCACAGAGGTGTTAGTGGGAGAGGAACACACACATCAATAATCTCAGTGACAGATTTAGGATTTACTGCTCACTCTGTGCAGGGAAGCAGTTTTATTCCCTAGATGAGTTCTAGCTGGAGAGAAGTGGATTTGGTCCCTCGATGTTAATGACACATTGCTTCCCCTATTTTCTTATCAGTTATTTGGTTATTCACAAGCAGCATTCAAGAGTAGATAAAAATAATTAAATATAACAAAAATGTGAAAACACACAAAAGAAAATGGCTGGTGTTGTGCTCTAAAGTTAAATTACATATGCAGGCCACACTATATCTTTAAAAAAAATAAACTGCATTAGTTAACAGTTCTGATAAACGCATCCAGCAAAATGAACTACAAAGCATCAGATTGCCAATCTGCTATCTTTCCCTCCAGCAGGCCTCTGAGGGCAGTCAAGGATGTTACAGTTTAATGTTGCATATCCTTCCATTTAAAAGAGTGATACAGACAGGCCTTCCTTCACTTCCAGAGGAAAACAAAACTATCAAGGACAGAGACTGGCTCTGCTACACTGCAGCTAGTTTTTTCCACCTGCTAAGATGTGAGAAGGCAGCCAAGCTCACCCTGAACCCACCTGGCCCTGTGTGACAGTGCGGTTAGAGTCCCACTGCGAGGCCTGACGGGACCGTACATCACACAGCTTCAGCTCAACCGAGGGGAACCTCGCTGCTGTTGAGTTAGGACAGCTGGAGGACATCGTGGGAGAGAGGACAAGGGAAGTGAGGGGAGGGCAGGAAAGATGGCTGCCGAAGGCACACAGGGTCAGACAGGAAGTGGCCACTCTCGCTTGGTTTCCTGCTAGGAAGGGTCACAGGGAAGACATGAACAACTCAGTCCTGGCTTTTTAGCAGAGGCAGGTACAGCAGTGAATTACAGCAGAATGGGAGGCAGTGTGCAGATTCAGGCACTATGTTTTTAATGAAACTTCCCACATGAGGCTCCAGGACTCCTGTGTTGTTGTGGCCTCTGCTTTTCCTCTCAAGTTCCCTGTTCAGTGGCCTGTACAGTCCCTGCATAAATGCAAATATTTACAGAATAGTTCTGGGTTGTTTGAATTTATTGTTTATAGTTTGGGCCAATTGGTAACAATGGTGTTGTACTTTGTCTGACCTGTCTGATCGTCCGACTTCTTGCAGCAATGTCTTTGTGTTTCCAGATCTCAAGGATTGTTTTAGTGAGTTGGAATATATCACTGATGGAAAGGATGGCCAAATCTACAGAAATATGTTGTAATAAACTGAAATTATCCTATTCCAAGATACAGAAAATAGTTCAGAGTCCTATGTCATTTGAGCATTTACCTTTCATGCTCCGTCTGTGACAGGCCCAGTTTGTGCTCTGCATGTCTTACATTCGAGATGTAAGGATCTGATTTTCTGAAAAATAGAAGCTTGAGAAACTGGTTCAAAATCTTTTTTTATTGTGCAACAAATGTGGTTTTTATCCAGATGACTACATGAGTGTTTAAGGATTTTGGAAATACTTTCAGAGCAGATGTAAGTCCTGTAAAATGACCTCCTAGGTTTTTCAATAAATCGCCGGGTGTTTATTTTTACGGAAGAATGGGTGCTCAAACATAATGGTAATACATGAGAGTCACAAACAGGGGGTCGGTCTGTGAATGCTGAGCAAAGCTCTGTCCTCACTTTAACTACAGTGAAGAAATCTGACTGCCCAACAACCATCCCTCCGAGCCCACTAAACTGTTTATAGAAAATCTTTCAGCTGAGCACATTTCATGCATCAGCCCCATCAGAGCTCTCATGAACAATTACCAGTACTAATAGGCTTTCAAGGAGAGATACTATTTATCTCTCCTCACCAAAGTTGTTTGTACAAAGATTTCAAAATTGATGCCTGGGAATAACATGTTCAAACATTTATGAAGCTTGTGTTAAACATTACCACTGAGCAAGACTGTGTAGAGCTTTGCCACTATATTGATCGTGGCAAGAAACACTCATGTTGAAAGTGTCGGACCTAATGCACCCTTCAGGAGTCGCAGTGATAAAAGGCTCAGACGTGTGGCAAGCCTTCCACCACTATGTTAAAAGTACAGAGAAAATGACTTACTTTCAGGAAATCAATGAGTGTTTTATTCTGAAATCCATTAAGGGAAAATCATTATAATATTCATTGTGGTCCTTTTGCAAAAAAGCAAGCCGTGAGCAGTCATGCCAGAAAAAGTTGTGCATGGCTGACCGAGTGAAGACGTAAGAGACACAGGCAGCTGGCTCACTGAGCAGTCATTTGTGTGCGTGTGTGTGTGTGTGACGTGTGTGTGACGTGTGTGTGTGTGTGTGTGTGTGTGTGTGTGTGATTCTCAGAAGCTCCAAATGAAATTAGCCGTCGAGCCGAGTCCTTTAGCAGCAGTCTGCAGCAGAGATTCAAGGTCAGAGTGGCTGATTCTGCTGATGCATTTTATTCTCCGGAGCCAGCACCAGGCTGCCGGATGAGGGGTTACCGCTGCCCACCAACCGCTCTACTCATTCCCACATCCATTCATCCTCTGCACGCACTCCTATCCCTCCATTATCACCCTGGTCCTCCCTGGCAGGGGAGTGTGCATTTACCCGTTAAATTAGGTGGGGGAAGAAGGAGGTCGGAGTGCCTGGATACCCTTGCCGACGTGCAGCGGGGAGATGGATAGGCTAAGGCGTCCTGATTTCCCATGTGACTACAGTAATTGTGTTATAATGGAGGTGGGAGCTGAGTGGCCATCAGCAGAGGTACAATGCTACTGGCTAGGTGTCCCCTTCTTTCCTGTCACCATACAGAACAGTAGACTGTGCACATAGACAGCAAGGGATTATGGGTATGATGTCTGCATCCCTGAAAGCCCATGCATGCAGTGATGCAGACATTCAGAGCTTCTTGATGTAAGGGATTTTACTGGCATGTGCACCGCAGCTTGTTACAATTGATGTTTGTATCTTGAGCCACCGACTGAAACAGAAGCAGCATTAAAACTGCATCTTTCCTCTGCAGGCTAATGCCACCAGAGATTAATCTATTTTTATTTTGCTAGTTATCACTGACACAATTATTCATTCACTTCATTAATTGTCAAATATAATAGCAATTTCTCTGCTGAAGTGAATTTCAATGTCATGGATATGTGAAAAGCAACCATTGTTCTGCATTTGTAGAGCTGTACCCAGAAAATATCTCATATTTTTAACTGACAGATAAATCCAGTAATTCAAATAAATTAAAGGGGCGCTCACATTTACACATTAAGTTCAATTTATTATTTTAGCTTGAGATTTTTATAGAAATGTAAACTGGTATGAAAGATTTGGGAGGAGGTCTAATGAAAGACCAGTTGCATTCAAATGTAGCTTGACCCACAATACAGACTAAAAGTCAATTCCTTATTTTAATCTGTCTCTTGTAAGTCCCCTAACCATGGAAGAGACTAAATAAATTGCTGGAGTAAACTTTAAATGCCACTTTTAATAAACATTCAAGCAGCTTTCAAAATGAGAACTGTTTTATATGGACAAATCAATTATTTGACTTGAATCTTTGAAGTCACCAGAGATGTCTTCTCAGTATCTCGTCACCCCTTTTTGTCCTGCCCACCTTAGACATGCATAGCTGACCATATACAATGCTTTTTTTGTGATCGTCCTCACGTTCCCCCTCTCGTCTGTCCTTTGCTTTTAGGCACCATGAGACCAGTGCAGAGGAACTTTTACGAGCCGTCGTCTGCTCCGGGGAAAGGCGTGGTGTGGGAGTGGGAGAACGACAACGGCTCGTGGACGCCGTATGATATGGAGATCTGTGTGACCATCCAGAACGCCTACGAGAAGCAGCACCCCTGGCTTGACCTGACCTCTCTGGGCTTCTGCTACCTCATCGACTTCAACAGCATGTGTCAGACCAACAGGCAAAGCCAGCGCAAGCGACGCCTGCGGAGACGCATGGACCTGGCCTACCCGCTCATCATGGGTTCCATCCCTAAGTCGCAGTCGTGGCCCGTGGGAGCCAGCTCTGGCCAGCCCTGCTCCTGCCAGCAGTGCATCCTGGTCAACAGTACGAGAGCCGCCTCTAATGCTATTCTGGCCTCCCAGCGGCGGAAGCTCTACGGAGGGACAGCGGGAAACCCGGGCGCCACAGGAACCCTCGCTGTAGTGCGGCAGAGCAACACCTTTGCTGGAACCTCCCTCTGGTCGCCGACATCCGCCTCCTCCGGCCCCAACAACATTAACATAAGTATGGGAGGTGGGCAAGCCAAAGCTGAACAGGTGCAGTTGCCGCTGTCCTCTGCCAATTTCCCCAGTTCCCCCATGATGCCATCTCTTTCATCCGCCCATGGCCACCACGCCCTCACCATCAACGGACAGAACAACCTGAACCGGCCAGGCACCCAGCGCATTTCCATGGGCACTGCCAGAGGAGCCATCCCACCAGGGTAATGATGTTTGCAAACACAATCATTCACACTTGTTGTAGCACGTGCATAATGCTCGCATTCTGTTGAACTTACAGCTCAGCTGAGGCGGTTGGAACATATAAAAAGCAAAGAAACGATCTAGATGTCTGCTTGTCTGCTTCACAATGCTTCAGCCTGGGTGTGTCTGGTGTATTGTGCTCTGTCAGTTTCTGTCTTCCTCCACCTCTTTCTCAATTTCCCTGCTGATTTATGACTAGTCGCGTTAAAATGCTGATCAATGGATCTGCAGAAGAAGCCTTGGGTCCAGTTGATTTTACTGACGAAGAACCCTTTTCTTTCATATGTGTGTCTGCCATGGTTACTGCTCTATAATGAGCTTATGTTGGCCCTGAAAGGCGTGAAATACTGCAGCTCTTCTGGATCATTCTGGTGCCTCTGCTTTGAACTACTTTGTTACTATGACTCTACGCCGTAGTTGTTGTGTCATGGGATGGGGAAAAAAACGTTGCATGTGGAGTATCTGGATCTTTGTGTGTTTTATGGTGCGGGTGTATGTATGCACGGTCAGGCATGTGAAGCGGGTTCTGGTGTAGCTGTGGAAACCTATTTGCCATGGAGGCAGAGCTCCACTGGGGAAGAATGAATAATGGATCAAGGAAAAATGGGAGCTTCAGCTGAGCGCTCTGACCTCAGAGCGATTCAGCGAAAGGAGCTGAGGAAAAGAAGTGTGTGTAGCGTTGTAACCAATACTTCAGTCTCCTATCCTGCTTTCTTTTACTAAAATAAACCCTCTCCTGATCTAATTTGATTCCACTTTGTTCTTACCACTCATGGGGAGAGACATACTTACTGAATGTTTGAATAATACCGTCCTTCAACCAGGCACACATGCTTTCACTTTCTGTGCCCTATTTCTGTGACACTGAAAGGAAACGTATATGGTTTTTGCTCAGACCATGACCTTGTTTTATACAGCAAGCAGGTGGGAAATGATGCATCTCTGTGCAAAGTTACTGTATATGTGACGGAGAAAACCAGCATGGGGCGACCTTCCGTCTGTAGTTTAAGAATTCAGTTAAAGCTCGGGTGAGCGTGGAGTTGTGGATGAAATGTGACTCTTTCACCTCGCAGCACCAAAGGTTTTTGCAGAGAGGGCGAGAGGGAGGAAAGACAGGAGGTGAGGTGGAGTGCGTCGGTTCCCAGGCGAGTGGCTCGACATACAGGATGATTGTGGTTAACATACACACAGCAGGACATGAAAGCTCACACGTGCACACAAACCTGCTATGTGTATTCACTCGCAGATTCCCACGAGCATGCTACAGACTGATAACGGAGGAACCCACGAAGAATGTAGAACATTAGATCTGTTTCTCTCACACACCCACACCCTAATATAAGTGGTGCTGGGTGTGAGGAAGATGTTTGGCACGCTGTGGCTTGTTTACATGAGTTTATGTTGCTGCTTTACGTGCATAGTCATCCTTATGATTACAAGTGTATATCTACCACATTAATATATACATTTACATTTAAAAAAATGTTGATTTCATCTGTCTATAAGCTAGCACAGCAGAGTATATGTCATTGAAGGGGCTGCAGTAAAAGTGTGGGTGTGTGTGTGGAGGAGGGGTATCTGTCTTGCGTCCACAAATATTAGAACTAACACCATCTGCTGGTTTTTAACTTATTACTGGGTTGAAACAGCCCACTGTATCACCACCTGCATTCAAATGTTATCATGGCCATGTGTCTTACTTACTTAGACTTGGCTCCACTGTCGAACACAAAAGTAGGGCTGCAATTTAAGATTTATTGTCATTGGATAAGCAGCAAAGTTTCACACGTTAGAAGACAAAATAAATGTATGATTACATGGAGTGATGAGAAGTGATAGTATTGAATACGTTGAGGTAGAATGAACACAGAAAGAACATCACAAGATCTCTGGGGAAGTTTCTCATGTCTTTTTTTTTTCTCAGCCAAACCACTTCCTCTTATGCACTTTCCCCATGCACTCTGGTATTTAACTGAGTTAAGACATGCGCTGCATTGTCTTCAGACAAAAGGAATAAGTGTGCATGCTGCCGTTGGCTGCGTTTACGAGCTCCACTCTGCTTGTGTTCAGACTGCTCGTCTGAGTTTTGGCTGGAGGGCTGTGTGTGGAGTGCAGAGATCATTATCCCATAGTGGGCTGCTGCACCGCTCTGCTCTGGTGCTCGCCACGAGATATAAATTAATATTGAAATGGATGAATAAATCATGAGCGCTTATATGGACCAAACTGATGCAATTTGGAAATTCTTGGTGTCAGTATTGCTTATTCTCAGGGCATTTCAGGTACATTGTGCCCCCCTCTCCATCAGTGTAGCAGGCGTAGGGCTCCCGCTACTCACATCAATATGCAATTAAGCACTCCTGGAGTTCTCTCACGGCAACCTTTCTCTCACTGTCTTTATGGTGCATAATAAACAGATGAGAAGATATTAGTCCTCCATCAGCACTTTCTTAACCAGGCCTAATGTGGTCTCTCTATTTGGGGAATCGCATCGCTCTCGGTCTGATTAGGTCCTCGAGGCAGGCTGGAGCTTCCCCTAGGAAAGGAAGCACGAGACAAAAGAGGGACAGCGACCCTTGTGCCTTGACCTGACAGGGGCCATATATAATGTGGTGTTAATGGGTTAGGTATGTTGGGGCTGGATTTATCACTTAATTACATCGGTTTTAGGTCAGAAATGACAGCATCTGACATGGAAAAATACTGCCATAAGAATTTTTTTCTTCCTCTCTTCAGTTGTACACTACTGTCCTCCCTCAAAGGTTTGAGTGTAGCTTGGCTCAATGGACAGAAGGGAGCGAAGTAGTGAAACTACAGGAGGAAGAGATAAACTAGAATTTGCAAGGCGTAAGAAATGCAGAGGTGACTAGGTCCAGTCTGGTTCGCTGAAGGTGCGTTGTCAAAACTTGAGTGCTGGAACAGCAGTGTTGTGGTGGAAAGGCCAAAGGTCTGCTCTTGTTTACACTGACGGTGAGTTATAATTGCTCGTAAGATGTGAATACGAGCCATCACAGCCTTTTGTTCAGAATCACTGGATACTCTCGGCATTGACTGTTTTTTGCATAAAAATGACAGATTAATGACTGGATTTGGATGTACTCTCAATGGTGATGATGGTGTTTTTAGACAAATATGATGTGAGAAAAGGAGAGGAATAAACAGCAAGAGGGAAGAGGTAAACCCTTGAAATCATCCAGCATTAGGGATTGTCAGCAGAGTGTGAGGAGGTGGCGTGTGTCTTAAACAGCAGCGCTCCAGGTGCAGCCAGGACAGACGGGGTCAGTGCCTCCATTTTTTATTTTTTTTAAAGTCAAGAGAAAAGAGCTTCGTAGCACGGATGTATTTTTTCTTTAGGTTTAGAAGATAATGATCATCAGTAGCTTCTGCTGGTTGTGCAATCACACGGTGTGCAGCTGTTTCATCAACATTGCATATTTATTATGCAATACACTCTGTGGCTGTTGGCGAGATCTTTGGAAAGCAATAAAGATGAAAAGCATTCCTAATTAATGTTATGCTATATGGATCCCTGACAGATCCTCTGTACTGTATGCTTACAGGAGTGTTTAGGTTGTGCAGACGGCACACATTGAGATGGTGTTGAGGGTTCTCATGGTGTGCTGTCTCATCCCCTCTTCTCCTAATGAAAATTATTTGCTTGATGACAGTGCTCTCACTGAACAAGCCAAATTATACATGCACTCATAAAGGGGGGGCGTCCTGTTCATGTTGTTTTGATTTGATTTCGGGCTAAGTGCATGTTTAAATGAAGGAGGAACTCTCCCACTGGGCAGCACCTAAATTGGTTTCATTGCGTATCACATTCTACTTTAGCCAATCACTCTACTTTTGATATTCATGTTTGATAAGGTGTTTGTCGCTTCCTCCGCCTTAAACATTTTCCTCAGCAGGGAAGACAGAGTAGCTGATACTGGTGCTTTTATTGAGTGACGAGCAGCTGAATGACGAAGTATCGACCGGTTAGTTTTTGTTACAGGCAGCGACTGCAGCAGGTGAGTTCACCCGTTAATTCCTCGGCTGCGGTCGAAGGTGCAAAATCACTCGCTGTAGTCTTAGCTTCAAACAAAAGCCTGCATCTTAAATAAAACCTGTTCCAGTTCCACACCCCTGACACACACAACAGGAGTCAGCTGATGGTTCACTGATGCAAGACACAATGTGCTGCGAGTCCCTGCCAGTGCTGCGATTTGAGACATCAGCCTCACCCAGGCCTCGCGTCCTTTTCTGTTATTGCACTCAGCTTATTGAAGGGCTTCCCCTGGCACAGGAACAGAGGCTCTCGCTAATATGAAAGCAGTCTCTCGAAGCAAATTTGTGAAACGCCTGAGAGCTGCTGGGCCAAAGATCTCAGTCCCTTCATGGTCAAAGAGCAGGGAGATTTAGAAGTACATGTGCAGAAGTGTATGTGTGTGTGTGGGGTTGATAAACTGAGATAAACAATCAGGGGCTCCCTCAGTAGTGCCCTATTTACACCTGTTCATTTCATGTAACTCTTCTAGATCTGGGCAGAATGTTTCTGGTTTAGTTCATTATAGATTTAACCACTAGTAGTGCTGTGGAGCTTTTTTTTAATGATTATCCCTGTTGTGTTTCCTTTTTTTTTTTTGCAAGCAATATAACGATGCACATAACTTTACAGAAGCACAAGCCAGCGAGGGACACAATGCACATTGCTGCTAGAACTATAATGCAAATCTGTGGTGGGATGAAGATGGTAACAGAATAAAAATATGTAAATGATGGCCTTTCTATCCTGAAGCTTAGATTTGACTTGATTTGCTGGGCCTGTCTCACATCCAACTCGTATCTGGTGCAATTTAGTTGTTGCTTCTTTGTTGAATTTTAATGTGAACAAGATATCGATGCAATTGCATTTTTAATGAACCCAACATTTCCATCAAATGACTTGACTTACTTTGATTATTGTTACTTGAGTTGTCACACTGAGGCTTACTTTTAGCCGGAGGAAAGGAGCTCTGCTGCTCTGTGGTCCTTTCTGTGTGATGCTGGTTGAATTGAGGTTTTGAAAAGAGACTCACTGACTTGCATGCTCATATTAATGCCTCAAGTGCTTTTGTCCACTCTGCTCCACAGATCTGGAAGAGTGCACAAGTCAACTGTCTTTGTCGTCTGTGTTCGCCATGAACTCCACCCTCTCCAAATGTCATCCTGAATCAGGCTCTGCTGCAGTGCTTTGTACATGAGTCAAACTGTCTCAAACCATTGCAGTTGTCTCCGTCTCTGTGGTGAAGCACATGTGACATTTTAACTTGAGTGTATTTTGTGGCATGTAGGGCAGAGAGAGCTGCTGTTCTCACTTTTCTCAGCTCTGGCATAACGGGCAGTGGTGCACAATCAGAACAATTAACTGCTGATTTTGGAGGTTACAGGTCCATTTTAAGAATGTGAAAAATATAGATTTTTTGAATAAGAATTGATTGGCACGGCATGAAACATGACCCTAAATTAATGTATAATGTGAGCTAGTCACTTTCTGTGGCCATGCGGTACTTTGGAAAAACACCAGTCCAGAAAGTCTTTTTTTTTTTTCTTTCGTTGTAGGGTTCCTGCCCTCCCAGTAAAGAACCTGACTGGATCTGGACCTGTGCACCCAGCGCTAGCAGGTTAGTCAACATTTACTGTGTACCATCTGCTCAGAAAACCACTAAAACAAGTGATTTTTGTGGTCAAACTTATTGATCTTGAAAGACATTTACAATCAGTGCTTTTACCACTCTTCTCTGTCTCTCTGTGTGTGTGTGTGTGTCTGTGTCTGTGTCTGTGTGTGTGTGTGTGTGTGTGTGTGTGCTGTCCATATGTATCAGGTATGACAGGTATCCTGATGTGCGCTGCAGGTCTGCCGGTTTGCCTGACTCGGGCCCCCAAGCCCATACTGCACCCACCACCCATCAACAAGAGCGACATGAAGCCTGTGCAAGGGATCAATGGCATGCGCCGCAAAACCAAGAAAAAGCACCTGAGGAGAGGTGAGATGGAGGAAATCAAGGAGTAAATGCTTCCATTGTATGTTCATAGTGTGTTAGCGAATACATTCGAAAAGCTCTGAGGAGAGGAATAGACCAAGCTTTGCAGGATTCCCCCATATCGGCTGTCTGTAAGTCTGTTTAGCATGCAAACAAAACCAAAGCTGTTTGTTATTGTGATCATAATTGTTCATTAAAAGCTCAGTGAGGGTGATACAATAAATCTAACCTCACCCAAGGTTGCTGATGATTAGTTAGGAAAAGCACTGCTTTACCTTTCAAAAAGCTCCTATAAAATGTAATGATGATTACTAGTTCAGATTTATGAGCCCATGCAGTAAAAGTGTTACTGTAACAATTGTATAGGTGTTACACTACATGCACGACTGAGGCAGTCGACAGGAAAGTAATTAACAAGGGACCGTTGTTCTGAGCTGGTTTGAGAGGGGATCTGGTGTTTAGTTGGACGGCGTTGTGCTTGAATAAGTAAGTGCTGGTCGATGGAAGCCGTGGAAACCGATGGCCTCCCAAGGGAGCCTTCGTCCTAATTGATCAGTGAGGCTGTTGGGCTTCTATCCCTGCACTGTGGTTGTCCTCTTCAAGCCTCCAGAGCAGATGATGCAGCAACGCTTTATTTTACGGGTCCCATAGTTTCCTAGAATTTACCAGGAAGGACGTGATATGTGACTGTAAATTTATAAGAAGGTTTCTGCAGAGGATTATGTCTCCAATTACAACGATAAATGAATACTCTCTAAATACTAAGGGTGGCTTTTATGGAGCCGTTCTTTCATGGAATCTTCTCTGAAAATCAATAACTTCTGATAGACACAGACAAACACCTTCTCAATCCCAACTCGTCAAATACAGACGCTTGCTCAGTGGCCACAAGCTGTTACGCTGCAGGTACCCCTCTAGTGTCAGTTTTGGACGTGTCAGGGAAGGCGTGCGTGGTTCCACTAGTTACATGCATAGTGTCCTTTTAAAAATAAACTTCCATTTCCACAAGAAATTAGGGCGAGGCAACAAAACCATTTAGTTAGGTTTTGGAAAAGAGCGTTGTTGACGTCAACTTAACTAACTAACTAATGTCATGTGACTAGCAGGTGACAAACGAGTCACGTGATTATCGACTTATGAGACAAAATGTCAACGTTTACGCTTATTTCACACGGGACACGGACAGTGGTCTCCTGTCCTGTGTTTGTTTGACCAATACATCTCCACCACTCCGGCACACCAAGTGTATACTATCTCGCTCTTTATACCACGTCAGTTGCTCTGAGCATCTTATCATGAAGTGGGTGGGTATACATTGCCGTTATTTGAAAGTGCAGTGGGTTGGTTAGACCGGGTTGACTCAACACAACCAACCAACTCAACGAGGCTTTAACATTACTTAGTCCCAGTGATGGTTTGAGCTAAATGCTAACGTCAGCATGCCTTATAAAGACCGACAATGCCGTCCCTGAAGCCATGCTGCCGGCCTTTCGTTCAATAGAATCTATTAGGAAATTGTGGGCCTTTTTAAAATGTAACCCTGTATGTGGAGTCTGAGTGTGACCACAGACATACTGGAGAGTTGTGAGGGGAATGGAGATGTGTTTTTTCTCGTGCAAGGAGATTTGGGCTTATCCTTCTCTGCTTTCTGTACAGAAGAAAAGGTCAGAGTGGCTTTTGTTCCAGCTAATGAAGCCATCAAATAGCAATTGAGTCTCCTCTGTCTTTCTCCTCCTTTTTTTCTCTCCTCCCACTTTTCACAGCTCTCTGCCTCCCCTAGCCTTTATACCTTAACATTCTTTTTTGGCTCAGTCTGTCTCTCTCCGCTGCTCTCCCTCCCTCTGTTCCCTGGCTGTCCCTCAAATGAACAAACAAAGGCTCCGGGGGAAAGGAGGTTGCCTGTAAGCGTATTAGGGGTGTAAGCTGTGGGTGTGCTCTCAGCCATGCTAGCCTGGTTACACACAGGGATTATCAGAGAGTGTGGGGAAGGCTGAGTTGTTATGTGCCAGTTTGAAGGTGACCTCCTCTTCAACATCACAGACATGTATACTACATTCACATGCACACTCACACTGTCATCAGAAAATAAAGGGCTTCAGTCAAGCTCAGGCCAGAGCAACTGCTGAAACAGATGAAAGTTTTTCATCCATCAAGCTGTTATAGCTGCTATAGTTGTTGTTCTCTTGTGTTCAAATAACAAGCAAATGCCATCCAGCGGTCCATCATGCCCCTTTTCACATTTACTTGTGGTATGTGGGTGTAAGTAAGTGCCAAGATTGTTTTTTTCCTCCAGTGGTCATCTCATCTCTCTTCTGCTTTTTTCTATGACGAGGCAAAAACCCAGAGGATGTGGTGCGAAGATACACAGAGAAGATTAAAGTGGTGCCAGATGAGGTAAGGAAAACCCGCACACACAGAACACTTAAAAGTTTTGTGCCCACCAAGCGACTGGCTCTGTGACCGTTTGATCCCCTAACTAAGTGCGAGAGTCTCATAAATACATAGTCATGTAGAATGGCAGCTGAAGTATTTTGCTTGGCTTTTCCAGGACTGTACCATCTGCATGGAGAGGCTGGTCATGTCATCAGGCTATGAAGGCATCCTGCAGCACAAAGGCATCAAGCCAGAACTGGTGGGCAAACTTGGCAAGTGTGGGCACATGTACCATCTGCTGTGCCTGGTGGCCATGTACAACAATGGCAATAAGGTGGGTAAAAGCTTGTGAGCCAGACGATGTTATGATGTCACTCTAGGCTCAAATGATAAACTTGTGATGTCTAACCAGATTGCATGGCAGTGGCAGATGATCAGGCTTCAATATTGTTGTACGCAGATGGGGATCTTATGCAGTCATATCAGTCGTGACAGCAAGACTTTGTAAAATGATTATACATTCTGCTCACTTCATTCAGTTCAGTATTCTTGCATGAAATACAAATGTACTGCTTGCTAATGCAGAAGAGGCAACTACAAGCAGATTTAATCAATGTTGAATTGACAACAATTTTTCTGATATCAAAGCAATTTATCAATCAATATGAAAAGGCAAGATTGTGCAAATAGCACAATTCATATCGTATATCTCAGGTGGTGGCTAGCCATGTTTTTATGGTTTTAAAGTACCAATATATTTGTTTTCCCCCTGCTGTGGTAGTCAGAGCATTGAAAAACTTTATTTGAACATTTCAACAGCACCTTTCCAGGAACAAGATACGTATTACTCTTAGACCCTGTCAACGGCAGTCTTTGTGACTTTTGTTTTTTCGCCACTTTTGGGCAGCATTAACATATTATCACCTCTTGAATTTTAATTGTCCAACATGTTTGCAAACAGTTGCCTATTTACACATCCAGTAGATGCAGAGCAACATTGGCATGCATTTGGGTCTGTGTTTCTAGCAACGCGACACATCTCTTCGTTAGCTGTGGTTTGGTTTCTCTCACAAATGTCTTTTCTCTTGTTGCTAACTTTATCTTTCTGCTGTTTGGTGCCGGACAGTTTGCATACAGTGGATTTTTCTTTTAGGTTTTAGGTTACACCAGTGACAGTGAACCAAAACAACACATTTGTCGGTTGTAAAACCAAAACAATGAGCTGGAACATTTCTTAGATCTTAGGGGAACTTGTGTGATAATTCTCTGTGGATTCATCACCACAAGCGAACCCTTTCACATTATAAATATGTCATTTGAATGTCATTGATATTAAAATATTGATAAGTGAAGCTTTACATGTTTGCTTTAACACTACAACCTTAATGTCATTCATGGCTATTGTTTTGCAAAGAGGGCAGAAAGCTTAGAGACAGATATCTCAAAATACAAATAAAACCAAAACCAAAATCTACATGGCTACATAACACTTTAGCTGAAGTTAAGAAAAGATTATTTTTTATTTTTGGTGAACTGACCCTTTAAAGCAATATGACACTAAGCAATGCATGTCAATATCATTGCATTGTGTTATTAATATATACATTTATTCTTTCTTCCATCCAGGATGGCAGTCTTCAGTGTCCAACATGCAAAACCATCTACGGGGAGAAAACAGGCACCCAGCCTCCTGGGAAGATGGAGTATCATGTCATCCCCCACTGCCTGCCCGGCTACCCGGACTCCAAGACCATCCGCATCGTCTACGACATTCCTGCTGGGATCCAGGTCAGAACTGTGTTGCTTCACTAAATCCACCGTGCTACTTTTGTGCCCTGATCCACTGTGTGTGCTCTCTAAATCCGTGCCCTTTCTTCAACTGCTGCTTATCCGCTTTAGTTTGAAGGACGGTTATCAGTGCAGGAAGGTGAGGTGTTGTGGCTATGTAAGTCACTGAGGAAACAGCATTCTTAAAGAACACACAGTAGTTGTGGGCAGTGATAGACTCTTTACCACCATGTATTCATTTGCAGGGGTTTTGTAATTAATTGATCATTTAGTATACAGTATATACTAAATAAATCGATTCTTTAAAATGAAAATAAAACCGATCCAATGAAGGTCATTTTGAATTTACCTCCCTTTTACAGTGGAAAGGAGAGCATTGGGTTGGTGAGATGAAAAGGTTGCATATTTCATCCTGACTGCTGAGAGGAGCTTTAATAGAGTCAATAAACTGACCTTTTTCCACCAGATGAACAGGCTTAATGCCCCAAGGGACAGAGAATACTGTGGGTGACCTGACCACTCAGGTCAACAGAGCAGGACTATTGCCAGGGAACTGTAGCTCCCCTGCCTCTCTTTCTCCTCTCGCTCCACACTCTAAACATCCCGATGGGCAAGTCTGTAATGGACTTAATGGACAACAGCAAAAATAACATTAGAAATAACAGTCACCAAATGAATGAGGATCATCACAGAAACAAACAAAGTCAATACATCACTCTACATGTATAAAGTCAGTATCTTTCTGCTGCTTTGCACTCAGATTGGTTTGTTGGTCCATCTCATCACGTCCATCATGGACTCCCCATTTGAATAAAACAGCATGGCAATCCAACATTATAATCTGTCCAATTAGCGTGTCTAATAAAAACAGGAAAAAAAACCTGCTCTGGAAATGCAGTTTCTTGTTTTCAACACAATTTTAAACCAGAAATAAGGAACATTATGGGACCAATTTGTCACGACAAGACAACTGTAACTACCTTAATTCCTTAATTATAATCTGGTGGGGGCACACAAATAGTTGCCCAGCAGATTTCAATAGTTACCAGTGCTACTTCTACCCCCCTTCAGATGCCAATGTGGATGTATTAGGATGTATTGGCTTTTTTATATTGGAGCTCTGAGAGCAACTCTCTAAAAAATGATATTTAAAGAGATAATTGGATATTTACAGTAGCATATCTCAAATAATTTTTTACAAAAGGCCATTGTTAGCATCGTGAACAATAAAGCTCGCTCTCAGGCTGCTGCTGACATTTCCTGCACGATTAAGTCCGAATTGGAAGAGAAGGAGTTGTAACGCTTGTTTTTGCTCTCAACGTTTTTCACCAGACCAATGAGCACCCCAACCCCGGGAAGAAGTTCAGTGCAAGAGGGTTCCCTCGTCACTGCTACCTCCCTGACAATGAGAAAGGCAGGAAGGTAAGAAAGCCATGATCTAACAGTAAAAGCTTACTATGTTGAGTGAATCCCAGTGCACCTTGATGCAAAGAATGGGAAAGCTTTCCTGCTCTTTCTGCAATCTGTGGTTGTATTTAGCTTTACTAAAACTTAAAATGACTTGTGTAACCCTGGTTTTCTGAGAAGCATAACAATGTCTCTCATGTTATAAAAGAGGAATGATTATAATTATATGAAGAATTATTATACTTTTGTCTCTCCAGGTCCTGAAGCTGCTCATCATGGCCTGGGACCGACGCCTCATCTTCACCATCGGCACGTCCAGCACCACAGGCGAGTCGGACACGGTGGTGTGGAACGAAATTCACCACAAGACAGAATTCGGATCCAACCTGACCGGCCATGGCTACCCCGACCCCAACTACCTGGACAACGTCCTGACAGAGCTGTCGGCCCAGGGGGTCGGTGAGGACAACTTGAAGGACTGATAGCGGCTGAGCTGATTCACAGGATCACAACCCAACACGCCCCGCCATCTCCCAGAGAACAGGACCCTGCATGACGGGCCAACAAGTAGCCGACAACTCTTTACTCCCCACAAACAAAAATATCCTGCAGAAGTGGTGGTACAAGAGCAACGGACGCAAATTAAATGACGTGGTTATGGTCAATATTTTGATTTGTATAACCTAAGGTTCTCCCCCCCCCCCCCCCCTGCTGTCTCTTGATCCAGAATACAAAGACAAGGTGAGATTTCTGTCTTGGTAAATTGTATTTAACCCCTTTTAGATTCAAACTGAAGCTGTTCCTCTGCACTTGATGAGGGCTCATATTTGTAAATGGGCCCATATTTGTAAATGCTGAACTCCAGAATGCATGGCCCAGACTAACGCTGCATAATGAAGGTTGGGCAAATATCTACAATCGGGTAAGGTGTCAGTTTCTTGCTTGATATTGTGAGGTGAGATTTTAAGAGAATTTCAGCATTTTGAATAATCCAAATGAATTGATTATTTGCGTCCCTCCTTTTCTCTAATAATGAATTATTGGTGACAGTAAAGTGGTGAAACTTGGTTTTGTGATTTGAAGGAGAGGATTTTAGCTTTTTTTGTGATGTGTCCGTTAAGTTGCACTGGGCATCTCTGACATTTTCCACTTCTAAAACCTTCGGTCAGTTCTCTAAAATGGAAGTGTGTTCTGTCGTGCACGAAGTAGATTCCAGAGAGATAAAGGCTATGAAATACTAGTGTTTGGTAATAAACGTATATTGTATTGTCAACCTTGTGACCCGTCTATGAGAGGACACATGAAATAAATGAATCAAGCATCTTACCAGTCAGTTTGATGCTAGTTGTGAGGTGTTGTGGCTTGACAGGCTGAGGTTGTGAAGAGGGTTTTGCTATGCTCCAAGGTTAAACTTGTTTGTTTTGTTGACACACTGATGACGCCGACCTCTGTGAATATGAAGCCTGCATTATTTTTCTCCCTGTTGGAGACAAATCCTGGCCTCTTTACAATCCATCATTCTGACCATACACAAGAGGTGAGTGTGTGAGGGCAGGCTCTGTGGCATTAATATGCTGGCTTGAGGTCCTTTAGGAGAAAAGCTGAACACGCTTCTAGCAGATGGACGTTTCTCTTTCAAACACCAACAGTGTTGGTCCCTTGGAGATCCATCTTGGGCTTCTGCTTGCCAGAGATCCACACGTCTCTTGAGAACTTGTTTTCTGCTGGGCAGTACACAGGGATCCACTGCTTGTACAGCGAGCAGGGAAACGTCTTATTCTTTGCGTCAGCTCATTCAGAGTTGTAACAGACGATCCTTAAGTATACCCCCCACTTTCCTTCCCCTCCCGAACAACAGCAGAGCACTTCTGTATGTACCTTCTTCTAGTATGTAGTTCTCATGCTTTTTTCCTACGCTCCCCTGTTTCCACCTTCAGATTTTATGCCCATGGGGTGAAGACTGTTTGAACGTCCTTGGAGGAGGTCTTGTGCTGTTTCTACGCTCTGAGATAAAAGACAACCCAGTGCTGCATAATTCTCCATTAATATATCTGATCAGTTTTAATGAGAGGGGGTGTTGATGTAAGGTTTACCGTGTGGGCACCCAGCTGTGAGCTTAGTTTTGGAGTGAATCGTCGTCTTCCATAGCACTTGAGGCAACGGTTTGGTTCAATCAGTCATTCGATTTTTAGGAAAATATAAAATTGCAACTAAATCTGTCTATTTTTAAGTTGTTTATAAACCAGCTTGCGATGCTTTGAAAAATAGGCCTATCTATGATATACATTTGCAGATGTGATATATCTTTAAATTCAAGCTCAATTTGAGTCGATGGCGTAAGTTTAATTTATTTTTATACTCTTCTATATAGTAAATATAAAGATGGCCCACATATCTATACACAGGCACATGTTAACATCAATACATAAAATCTGGCAAAGATGAATTTGTCAGTATGTCAGGGACTGTTGAAATATGTACGACATGTTATGGACGTCTTATATTACAAGTAGTCTTAGCGTATGCTGCTCTCGTTACCTTAATGTAGAATCTGTGTAGTTGATCCCCTGTGGGACTCCAATAAATACAGTAAATGTGTCCTTATTATTGGTGGGGGAGCTTTAGCAGCATGAAGATGTCCGTTCCCCCCAAATGGGCCATTTCTCTTTTTCTACTTGTCCAGAATGGGAATGGATGCAGTCAGCGATCTTTGTTCAGTTTCATGGTGAAAACTGCACGCCTGGGTTAAATAGACGCTATTTCTTGAGGTTTGTTTTAAGTTAGCTGGAACAACAGATTGGAGCGGTTGACCTAAGTAAGTTGTCAATCAAAGTACACTGAATTACATTTTTAAAAGGCCCTGAAAACACAATACAGTTTTCTCCCAAAGTTAACAGTTTTGTTATTTTACACAACATTGTTTTTGGTATGTGTCCTTGCATTTGTGTTCATACACAAAGCAAAGTGTATTTTCGCCTGTGTGTGTGTGTGTGTGTGTGTGTGTATGT